GTATGAAGAGACACTTGTTAATATCTTAGACATTGCGATGATTCAAAATGAAAATATTTAGAACATTACTGAAAAGGGGCCTCGAGGCAGACATGTATTATCCCCAAGGCAAACTAGACAAGTACCGGGGACCAGCAGCTGTAACCAAATGCTATATAGCGCTTGTCTACATGTAGAATAGAAAACCAAATTATATGGAATTGACGTAAATTTTGCCACTCGTCAGTGTCATCCCCATACATTTTGATTTATATTCTCTCGGTAGACAAGCGCTAAAGCGTTTGTCTAAAGGCACTGGTTCCAGAGGGGCGCCGCGAGACATGCGTGCTCGACTGCCTATAAAGTGGTGGCGCTAAAAAACAGGCGTCTTATAAGGTGCTTGCCTAGATCGCTCTCTAGGTGTAATCTCCTCTGCTTCGAGGTACAATTGCCAAGTTATCTATATAGATATAATAAAAACTTCAAGGAGATCGGATACCTAGTCATTGTAGTTTTCTACTGTCTACTTAATTATGTGTAAAAAAATGTTATGTACGTAAGTTTTATAAATAAAATTGACATAGTCAAATTGCATACTGAAAGTATGATTGTGGAATGTGATCTTTGTAAAGTTTTTATTATTAAAATTCTGTAATGTTATTTTGTTAAGAATGTGTTCGTCATCCGATCTCCTTGCTTCTATAATACAAGTTAATAATAATATAGTTTCTAAAATTGTGAATGGGAAATATTTGTCAGTCTATAGTTTTTATAATCTTACTTATCTGTAAGTCTTCAATTAGACACCCCTATTACATGGAACTCGTATCTGGTGAAAAGTGGGTGTTACATTCTATATATGCACCTCTGTCTCTACCCTATCGGTGATTAAATAGTTCTATTTGATTAAATAAAGAAAATGTAGACAGGTTTGTTCAGCTACCTATCTCAAAAACAACTGCATCGATTTTGACACAATTTTCTTTTGTAGGCGAATCTCTTAATTTGGTATTCGTTTTACAAAAAGCTGTGTACAAAGGTTGCGTAGAAGACTGTATGATATCTGGTCGAACGTGTTTAAAACTATAGATTGAATTCGTAATATTGACCATTCATAGTTTATAAACTATACCTCTATAATAAAATACTGTTAAATCTCCAAACGCATTGTTAAAGAGTGCCTTTTATACTTCAAAAAGTATAAAATTGTTGTCTTGAAAAACAACATTTAGATATTTTTAAGATCACTTTTTGTAAAATGAAAAAGTTTAAGATCTACTTTTTTATATTTAAGTACTGATTTGGGAGTCATTGGTTGTTATTAGTAAGCGCCCTGAGATGTACAGTAATTATAAGATGTTCAAGTTTTGAATAACCTATATATTATGTAGATTTGCTAATTAGCTTCTTGTGTGCAGTGTCACCTGCTGCTCGGCCCTTATTTATTCTATGCAACGGATTTTGATGCGGTTTTTCGCGACGCCGGGGTGGGTCGCTAGTTAGACCTAAGCATGTTAAAGTTCTTCCTCTAATAAAAGCTAATCTACAAATGTATAGGTTATTGTAAATTCCCGTAAAACGACAGTGTATATGAATCGCACAATGATTTAATTGTAAATAATATAAAAAGTATTGTGATAAGAACCGACTGTATTTAATTATTTTGTATATGTTATAAATGTTTTGTAAATAAATAAATAAGTCAATACTTCCGAATCAGTACTTTGCGGAGTGTTTGTCAAGATGTTTATATTAATCTTGTACCTATTGACAATCTATGAAATGTTCGAATTCAAGTGTTTAAAGGTGTACTAAATAGTCAAATGAGTTTGGAAATAAGTTTTTACATGGTCAGCAACGCATACCTTCCTACCTGCTACCTAGGTGTAAGTACCTAGACTGCGGTGTCCGTAGGCTTTGTTGATACTGTAGTATTAAACTTATTGATCAAAGAAATTTGGACCTTTTCAGTATATGTTTAAAGTGCTATCTAATTTAACAGTCTTCCATAGTCCATTGAAATTAAATCAGTTTAGTTGAAACGTTGTAAATTGTCAATAAACAAGAAGCATTTAATAAAACAATAGTTACAGTTGTACGTGTGTATGTGAATGTGTATTTTGTAAAAAATGAATGAGTCGGTATAATCTCGAATTTGAGAATAAATAGTTGGACTCCTTATTTTTTTTTTTGTTTTATTTATTATCTCCTGACACAAAAAACTTATGTTTTTTTAGCGATCAGAAGTGGTTTTCATTTAAAAAAAACAATATTAGAGGTAGTTTGTACCTTTATTAGATTATGCAAATACAGTTTCAAATTAAAGTTATCAACAGATGTTTATTTAAATGGGAACAAAATAACAATCACTCAATATCATTGAGCATTTAAATAAAAAATATAAGTCTCACAGAACTTGACTGATTTCCCGCCCCGAATGACAGCTAACAAAATGGCCGAGCGCGGGTTGGTTGGCCCGCGCTTTTCATAGTAAGTTCAAGATGGAGTAGGTATTATTGGTCATCCCTAACACTATAATAATTCACCACCCCTACTCTTCCTGCGGGTATGTCGTACCCGACAAGGAGCTTCTTATTTGACAGACCGGGCAACAGCGCTCTCTGATAAACCTGAAGCTTTTATACTGCGATTTCCCACAGTTTATCTCTCAATCAGCAAATAGGTATGTGTTAACAAGAGGGGTAGAAAGTTTCAATATTTTAGTTCTTGCCGCGGCTTGACCTTTCGGAGATTACCTACCACGTAGGTACCTAAAAGTCAAAATCATTTATTTCAATTAGACCAGAGAGGCACTTTTGAACGTCAACAAAAAAAAATAAATAAAAGTGAAGCTATTTGCTCATTCCTATGGAGAAGAACGAGCAAGAAACTGCATAGGTTACTCTTTTTCAATCATGTTCACAATACAATTCTCTAGTTACATAGTTTTGTTGTTTGGGTCGTGCGAGAACAATGTAACACTAAAATACAGTCAAAGAGATCGAAAAAAAAATAACCTTAAAGGACAGTAAAAAAAATATATACAGTCTAAAGTCTAAGTAAAATATATACCTAACACACACACACACACACAACATGTACTTACGACCTTCCTACTCTGTGCGCGAGGGAGTCCTTTTTTTATGGAATAGGAGGCAAACGAGTAGACGGATCACCTGATGGTAAGCGATCAGCGCCGCCCATGGACACCCGTAACATGGAGGAGTC